TAAATGTAAGGTATTATATTAATAGCTTAAAAGCTGTTTATTAAAATAAAGTTATTAATTATAAAATTTTATTTAATATAAAATTTAATAAATTAAAAAAAAAAAAAAATCTTTTTTATAAATTATTTTAATAATATAATTAACGTATAAATAAAATAAATATAATAACTTATTTAATAGCTTATATAAGTTATTATAATAATAATATTTATTAATAAAAATAAAAAATAATATATTTAATTAATTAATTTTAAAATATATAAATTAAAAAAATATATTTAATAAAAATATTTAAATAATATAAAAATAATACAAAATATAATTAATTAAATTTATAAATGTTAAAGTTTATTAATTTATTATTTATTTATATAATTATTAATATATTTTAAAATATATTTTTTTACATAATTAAAAAAGTTTAAAAGTAATATTTTTTCGGAAAAATAAATATTATAAATTATTATTATTAAATAATATAAAAATGTTAATTAATAATTAATTATAAAATTAAATTAATTATATTTTAATTTTAATTTTTTAATTTTTTATTTAAAAAAAATTTAAAAAAATTTCCGTTATTAAAATTAAATAAATTAATATTTATTATAAATATAAATATAAAATAAATATAAAATAAATTTTATATTAATATTTACGTTAAAATTTTTATTATAATATTTATTTAAAATATAATTAAATTTATAATTTATTAAAATAATAAAAAAATAAAATAAATATTAAATAATTATAAAATAATTATAAAATAATTAATTATATATTATATATAATAAAATCATTTAAAAATTTTAAATAAATTAATATAAAAATTAAATTAACGGTAATTTATTTAAATATTAAAATTATTATAAAATAAATTTAAATAAATTTTTTTATTTAAATATAAAATAAATTTTATAAAAAACTTAATAATTTAATATTATAATTAATTAATTAAAATATAAATTTTTTTTATATATATAAAATAAAATTTAAATATTAAATATTAAATAATTATAAAATAATTAAAATATAATATTTTAATTTTATATTTATATATAATTATAATTTTTATAAAAAATATATTAAATATGTTTTTTAATTTTTATAAAAAATATATTAAATATGTTTTTTAATTTTTATAAAAAATATATTAAATATGTTTTTTAATTTTTATTAAATTATAATATTATTACATAACTTTTTTTAAAGTTATAATAAATTTTATAACGTAAATCATAAATTAACAGTTTATATAAATTAACGGTTTAATTAAAATATAATTAAAAGTAAACATTTTTATAAATTTATAACTTTATAAACTTTTAATTAAAACTTTTTATATTTTAATACGTTATATTTAATTATATAATTAATTTATAAAAAAAATGGAAAAAGATTATAAATTATAATAACAAAAATTATAAAAAATATTAACATTTTCGGGCTTATTTTTAATTTTTTTATTTTTATTTAATTAAAACAAATAACATAAAAATTAAAAAAATATTATTATTATTAAAAGTTAAATAAATATTTAAATTTAAAAACCGAATTTTAATATAATTTTTTTAAATAAAATACACAGTTATATATAATCGTAATTTATATATATTTTTATTAAACCGTTAATTTATATAAACCGTTAATTTATAATTTACGTTATAATTTATTATAAAAGTTTAATTAATGATTTATTATAAACATTTATTTTAAAAAAATAACTTTAAAATTAAAATTTAAAATATTAATATTATTTTTTATATTATAAAATAAAATTTAAAACATTTATTATAAAATAAATATAAAATAAATATTTAATATTATTAATAATGATTATAATAAATGTTTTATAAAATAATTATAAAGTAATTATATTTAATTTTAAATATTTTAATAATTTATATATTAAATTATTTATAAATATTAATAAATAATAATTATGTAATTAAAAATTATTATTATAACAGTTTAATTTTTAAAAAAACCATAAATTTAATATAATAAATTTAAAAATTATAAAATTTAAATATATTATATATATTTATAAAAGTTAATAATTAAATTAAAAAAAACTAAAATTTAAAAATATTAAAAATATTAAAAATATTTTAATAAAATATTTAAAAAATATAATTATTTAATATAATATTATAAAAAAAGTTAATTATTTAAAATATTTTATATTATATTTTATAAAAATATAATATAATTATTTTTAAAATACGTATAAAAATATTTACCATTAAAATTTTATCATAAATAATGTTTAAATTTAAACCGAATTTAAATTTAAATATATTAAAATAAATGTTTATTTATAATTTATAAATATAAACATACGGGTTAAACGTTACGTAATATAAATAAACGTAATTTATTTTAAAAATTTTAAATTTAAAAATTAACATAAAATAACATTTAAAAATATTTAATATAAAATATTTAAATATAAAATTTAATAATTTAATATAATAATTAATGAAATTAAAACACTTTTTATTTTAATAAAAAATTTTTAAAAAATGGAAATTTTATAAAAAAACTTTTAAATAAATTTTTTAAATAAACTTTTAACATAATAAACCTTTTATAATTTTAAAACATTAAAATGACTTTTATTTTTTTAACCTTTAATTTTAAATTAAGTCATTTATTATTACGTTGATTTTATGTTATTAATTAAGCAAAACGTTTGTTTATTAAAACCTTGATCGATCGCCTTAAACTTCCCCAGGACCGAATTTAAAAGTAGTGACAAAAGTAAGCCTGTCGACGAAAAAATGCATAAAACACCCGAAGCGGGAGACTCAAATGTCTTCTCATATCCAGTTGGTCTGTGGAGCTACTAGAGTAACAGGCCCAAGTACGAGATCAGAATGAAGTTGATTAAGTTAAGATCATTTAACAAACCGAAGGTCTGTCGCGATTATCTTAACGATCAACAAACTAAAGTTCACCCTGAGCTTGCATTGGAATGGGCGAAGGGACTTGCCATATATCAGTACCCTTTCAAGTACGTTTTAACTAATTATATGGCAATGTTTTCCCACTTGGCCGTATTAACCACTATAACTTCCCGGGCTATTCCTTTACGATACTACAGCAGTGAAATGACAATAGTTATTATACCCCTATTACCGCCACAACAACCTCGTCGTCCATATCCTCACAAATTCCAATGTCTTCAGGTAGTATTGCACCATCAATCGATATATTTTAGTTCAATGTAAATCCTGTTAAAATACCTTTATATTCTCAAAAATGTACTAAGTCAAACGTATATGTACGTGTTAAGACACAAACTACATATAAAATCCACCCTAAACTATCGTCTTTTAAGCTTGTATATATATCGAAAATGCAGGAGTCCTCATTTACCTACTACTATTCTGCCCACTCCATGTCCCTTACCATTTCTAGCTTATATTCCCACTATCACTCTCCAATCTCTGGCTTCCGGCCGTATACAATGGTCCTAAAATTAATCACTTGTCAGCGTGAAAATTCCGAACATGCGCAAAAGACATTGAGCTCAGCCCCCAATGTCATAGCTGGTATGAATTTTACTCACACTTGAAGCCAGCCACAGAGGCTCTTCTTCTTCAACTCCGTTCGATACTTAGCTACGAATAAAAGGATCTCCTCGGCTGTCCACCCCAGGGCTTTGCTAAACAAATAGAGACAGAAGCCTTCAAGACTCTGATCTAACATCGCGAACATCAGCAGGCCCGCCTGTTGTAGTTTCGGATCTCGTGGCCAGCCATGACAAGGCATCTTGACCTTGACGTCATGGACGTCGACAAAGCCGGCTTCCGTCATTGCCTCTTTTAAAGTGTTGTCGTACCCGATACGAAATGACCGTCCCAATTTATCCCCGGCTTCGTAGAACGCCTCAGCCCAGGTATTGAACATGTGATCTTCGGGAATGGTGGCATGGTCCGATTGTATACGCACATCGAACTCTATATCCTCGAACCACTTGCCGGGCTTGAGGTGCTTGAAGGCCTTCTTATATAGGTCGGTCCAATCAGGTATGCTCCCTGTTTGAGAAGAGTTGTTAGAATGTATCTACATGATGTAGCAGACCAGCGAGTTTCAATTGGAGTTACCATAAAGCATCCTCATGTGGATATAGTCGAAATGGCTCTCGGGCCACGTCCAGTCGAGGAGACAATCATCAATCTCAAACTTAACATTCGGCGGCATCCACGCAGGCTGTATCGGGCTAAGATCGGTCCCTATCACCTCTGTTGCTGGATAAACGTCTGCAAAATCGCTATAGTTACTCTAGTTTAGCGACCAGAGCTCGATGTTATGGTTGTATGTTCCCCACGGAATACTTACATTGCCCATATCCCAGTTCCAGTTCCTACGTCGAGCACCTTCTGTGGATTTTCGCCGACAGGTGCAAGAAACAGCTCATCGCCCAAAACCATCAAGGCGGCATTGTGGAGCAAGTCGAGACCCTCATTCTGTTGCTCGTCATTCGGAGCCCAGTACTCAGACGTCTTGGGCGCATTGAACGTCCTGCCGTGCAGTACGCGATAGGCGTAGATACTTTCAGTCAACGAGCCGGTGGAAGATTGTCTAAATGTCACTATTAGCTTCGAAATCGAACCCAAGTCACAGATATATGAGTATTGTTATACATTGAGCTACCAACGGCCGAATTGGCGTCGTCGTTATCCGGCTCATCTAAGTCATCGGCCTGCATGCGATGTCAATATCACGATCGAAGGAATTAAGACGCAAGCAAAAAGGACAACCTACCACTTCGATATGTTGTTGGGTACCAAATGCTTCCCCTTCGGGCCCTTCGGGCGTTGGACTTTTCGCAGGGCTCCTAGGAGATGTTGGACCTTTAGGTGATGCTGGAGACGCAGCAGATGTAGTAGCTGTTGTTGTCGTCGCCGCCGCCGCCGCTCGCGGGGATGGTGTCTTTGCGGTGGTATCCGCCATTGCTCTCCTATGATAATTTTCGGTTAACTACCAGTCCTATGGAAGAGCCGGCAGTGCCCCTGGGTGTGTGAGAAGAAAAGAAGTTAACAGCAGTTAGACGTAAGGAAGGTGCTAAGTAAAGAGAGACGGGCACTAATCAACATAGCAAAAATATGGGTGCGAATATGAAGAACGGCTGGTCCCGCGCCACGCGGGCAGTGGAGAAAAATGAGTTGGCCGCATCTCGAAGCGGGCTCTCTGACCAAAGGGGAATATGTACATAGGAATATTTGGTGCCAACGGCGTTGGTTCTGACTTACAAGGACCCCCAGATCCCAAAGCCAGCATTCTGGGTTCTATTGACATCTTCAACCAATCAAATAAATATTCTCCAATACCTGCGGGGTACCGTTACTATCTTTGACCCGTGAAAGACAGCCTGCCGAGCAGCTACTGGGAAAAAGAAGTGGATTGTCTAGGGTGTAAGATTTTCATAAAAAATGACATGTGTCGCCTGTCTTGAATTCCAAACTCTGGCGGTGAGGAAGAGTCTCTGGGGGTACATGGATGTTTATATCGGCAAACCCGGACACAGGATATGCACCTCTCTCTCCCACAGGCTTGGGACGATACTAGAATTTCTAGAAAAGGTAGTCCACTCGCGGATGATGGAGAGGTTGGTAATGTTGGTAATGTTGGTAATGTTGGTAATATGACAAGCATGAATGAATGATACATATCAATTGATACATATCAATCAATGACTATTGGTTTCTGTCATGAATTTGAGAAGCGGGGGTACTCGCATTTCATCCTTACTCTTAACATCCAGCTTCGGCTCATCCAACCTGATCGGGTAGTTATCGGGTAGATAGATACCTTACTTGGTTAAAAAGCTGCTTGCTCCGTGCTCACCATATTCGCCGTGGCAATATTCCCGAACCTCAAACTTGCTCCCTAGCTGCATTTGCGCCAATCACCAATGATAATAATGTCAGTGCTTAGTTTAGTTTCCACTTCTGAACCTCCCGTTTGATGAGCTCATCCCACTTTAATATAACCGGATGTTCCTTTGCGACGTCCTCGATCAAGATTTCACCATCACCTCCAGATCCTCTAACGGAATATTTCCAACTACCATCTGAGGTCCAATATTCCTCTGCGAATATCACCTCGGTGCGCAGCTCCTTTGATGCATCTGACGAAAGTTTGTCCATATGTGCCGAGTTATTAAGGCTGTTTTCTCTCAAAGCTGCAGCCATACCCTCAAGGAGTCCTAGTAATCGACCAGCCTTCAAACCGAGTTCAGCGCCCAGGTCAAACCCTTCATCGAACCCGGCCTGCATGCTTTCGGCTTTGCCGGCGGTAATACCATCACGGTAACCTTCAGTGGTATGTTGAGTTTGAAGTCTTCTCGTATCTGGTGAGAATATCTGGCTGCTCTCCGACTGGTCGTGAGATGCCGCCAATTCGGTAAACTGCTGAAGATCCGGGCCGATCATATCATCAAAAGGTTCAAAATAAGCCGGTGCATGGACATGATCCATATATGTATATAACTCGCTGTCCCGAGGTTCAGGCGGTGGTAAATGCATTTCGGATGTCTATTTATTCGTTATTCGTTACCATGCAGCCATGATGAGGGGAATGGGAGAATGGTACTAGTTTAAGTCTGATCGGTCCCAGAAAATTTTTAATGTGTTAAGTAATTCGTACCAAATTGTTAACATTCGCCTATGCTACGGTATTTACACAGTAAGACGAACCTTTCCCAGGAGCTTATTAAAGTAAGCAACATAGACTGCCGACGCATAATGCATTTAATTGGGAATAAAGGAATTGATAACTCGGTGTTTGCCCATCTCATATAATTCGCGATGCTAATAACAATTAAGTATCTAAATATTTAAAACCAGCCATATATTAACGTATACGCACATAAGAGATGCATGGGATTAGCCTGCTTTAAAGAAGGTATCAGTATCACTGTAAGGGGTAATATTTGACATTCATGTACCTAATGACTTAGTCTCGAGGTCCGCACGCTTGTGATGCAGCAAGCTTGTTAGGACGTTATTTCTTAGGTCAAGACTCAAAACTATGACCGGATTTTCTATCGTAGTTATCCTTTCTTATTCCCGATCAACGACTACTTTCACTGTGTATAATTATGATTTGGCCTAATTATTCCGGTGGTAGTCCCCTTCTTCTACCTATAGTCGGTCATTATATCAATCCTACCAGAGACTAAATCTTTGGTCTTAAGGTTCTAGATAAGACATCTGCAGTAAGGGACGCTTTTAGAATATACAGCACAAGTTTCTATAGTAAGGATCGGAGTTCCTTGCGGAAGAACAAAGTTATTTACATACCTCTTAGTCTACCCCGTGATATTAACTAGTAAGAAAACGACGGCGTGGTCGGGCAAGTGACCTAGCTCAGCGAGTGATCAAATCACGTATACCATAACTCGGAATATATCTATACTGCAGGAACCCGGGGAATAGCTTAAATTGGGTACATATTACTTGGCTGTCTTCCACTTACGAGCCTACCATATGGTAGTCAACCCAGCTCACTATAGGCACTCGCTGTGCACTAACTTGTAATATCGTACTTACTATATACCCATAGTAGATATTGACAGTTCATTGTTTATTCTGCCACCATACTCAAGGTCACCCGAGTGATTTTCTCAGGTGGCAGCATGATAGAACCGACCTGTTCAATATATTAGGTGGCACGACCTCGACACTTCAGATTTCCTATCAAAGAGTGACACAATTAATCAGGGAATTTTCAAAGTTATTATCAAGCTTAAGATGCCGCTACATATGGATATAGTTATTATTCGTGGTCGTTTACAGGTCACAGGGCAAATCTGAGAATCGATACTCCATGGTATATATGATGCTGAAAGTATTTGAGTGCAAAGGGAGGCTAAGTGAGAGATAGGCGAAGATGAATTTTATCATAATAGTCGTCCAGCGATTGAAATACCAAGAAGTAGCTAGTTAAATTTGTCAAAACGAGATCAGTCTAGAGACAATAGGAAATGAAAGTCTTGATATGAAGTATGCCGGACTGGGAAGGTTTGTTCATAAATATACCGTTGATATCTAATCAGTGCGACAAATGGGTTCTTATATAATACCATTATCGTCACCATACTGTTAGCTCAACATCATAGCGAGACTAGTCTTATAAATGAAGCGGGTGCAACACCTCAAGTAGATGAGACTTTAACAGATGCAGAAACAAATAAACAGTCAGAAGTAAGCTAACAGCCAAGACCGATGGAAAAGGAGACGTGTCATTCTCTAAATTTCACATAAACTAACTAAACTAATTTGAAAACGGATTTATATCGTATAGTCTCATATCCTGTAGGAAATTATAGTCTTCGAGGTATTGCCTGGCAAGGAGTCGGCCGTCATTAAGTATTTATAATTCCAACGACAACGATGGGAGGTTATTAAGATTTACATATAAGATTATGAATCGTATAAGCCGAATATCAACCACCACGTAATATAAAGTCGGGATGTGTAGGTAGCTAGTTTCGTCAATTATAACTCAAGCCATTATATAATTAATTATCTTACCAACATAAACATATAAATACATATGAAGCATTCGTTAACAATGGTCCGAAACTAATCTCACTAAGACACAGCCCTTGGATCTTAGACTTAGAATCAGTCCTAATTCGTCCTAATCTCTTGGGCCGGATTGGTTGGAGATATGTATAGCCTTGGCTTAGGAAATGCCACACCGAGACATTCCTACCCACATCGCCACATTGCCACCCTGCATCGATCATGCTAATCCATGTCCTGCATAGGCTCATTATCTAAAGTGAATCTCATTCCTTATCTTTTAGATCCGCCGCTTGCTAGTTTTGACTCATTAGACTAGCAAATTTGCACCTTGAAAATTTCGAAGGACAAGCCCTCCAGCCATTAGCAGCACATGGTGGCTGGCTTTGTATCGAACAACAAGCGATAGGAAAACAGTAAATCTAATCTACATAGTAAAGCCCCCCATGTTCGAAGCTAAAATAGAAGTGATAAGATCTGTAAAGGTATTATCTCATTTTAATTAACACTAGATCGTCACTAGCCAATACCACCACCATGATTAGACATGTTCATGCCTCCCCAACCTGCTGGAACCGTATTTTTCTTTTCTTTTCATCTAGGTGCTCGCGTGCCATGTGGCTTTTGGCCTTTCGCTTTGCGGATACTTCTTATGTGCTGACATCAATATTTCATCATTCTTATATCCCCTTCTCTTTCATACGACAATCCTAATTCCTACCGGTCCTATTTGCGACTTACCTCGGTTTACCGTTGCAGAGCTACCCAGTGGTCTGTAAGTCGGAGCAGCTACTCTGTGTGACCTACCAAACTCGTCGCAAACGACCAAATTTGCTAGCCTAGAGGTCACTCATCAACATGGCGTGGGTTCACGACTTCAACGTTAGGGTTGCGAAGAGTCCTGTCGGGCGGTGGTTCCAGCTCGAGGGATCAGGTCACGTAAGCTATCCTATGACACCCGAGTGGCCGAGGTCCACGACGGAGACTTGATCATTGACGAGGTTATTCTACTGGAATATAGCCCAGGGAACGAAAGGGTTCCTACTTTTTCACCGAGCTGCGCGCTGGAGTCGCTGCTTTTTTCGCTATGGCTTATATCATCGCGGTTAACTCTAGCATCGTGTCTGACACGGGCGGTATGTCTCTAGTTGCTCTCGCCATTCCACGAGAGTTTAGGGGGCTAACAACTACTCGAAGGTACCTGTGTGTGCAACGGCGGACTGGCTGACCCGTTATGTAAGGTGAACGAGGAGTATTTGTTGTGTGCTGCTGAAATCAAGCGCGACCTCGTCACGGCGACGGCCGCTATCTCTGCGCTATCGTCGTTTTGTATGGGCTTGTTTGCAAACCTGTATGTGCCACCTTTCTCATCCATTGTGGCTCTAGAACCTAGCTAATGAGCCCTTCTAATCACAGCCCGGTCTCTTTGGCTCCTGGTATGGGTCTGAATGCTTACTTTGCTTATACCGTAGTCGGATATCACGGTGCGGGGCTTGTGCCTTACTCTGTAGCTCTAACGGCCATCTTCGTCGAAGGATGGGTTTTCTTCGCTCTTGCTCTATTTGGCCTCCGCCAATGGCTCGCTAGGGCTATCCCGCGATCGATCAAGCTTGCTACGAGCGTGGGTATCGGCCTCTTTCTAACCCTGATCGGGTTAACATATAGCGAGGGCATCGGTCTCGTGACTGGGGCACAGGATACGCCGATGGAGTTAGCTGGCTGCTCGGCTGTAGACACAGAGACCGGGCGTTGTCCCGATGGCGACAAGATGCGTAATCCGAAGATGTGGATTGGTATATTCTGTGGTGGGGTTCTGACCGTGCTCCTGATGATGTATCGCGTGAAGGGGGCTATCATCGCTGGAATCTTACTTGTCAGTATCATTTCGTGGCCACGAGGAACTTCTGTCACCTATTTCCCATACACCACCGTGGGCGATGACGCTTTCGATTTCTTCAAGAAGGTTGTCGACTTCCATCAGATCAGCAAGACCCTCACCGTCCAGCGTTGGGATATTGCGGAATATGGGGGTCAGTTTGGCTTGGCGTTTATCACTTTTCTCTACGTCGACATCCTTGACTGCACAGGAACCTTGGTAAGTACACTCTGGAGTTGTTTTCTTTCCTATTTTACATGTACCTTTATATAGATGCCCCCTACAAATGGTATGCTGACCCTGGGCTTTCTAGTATTCGATGGCACGATTTTCCAACGTTATCGACCCCGTAACCGAGGATTTCGAGGGCTCAACCGTGGCATATATGGTTGATGCGATTAGCATATCTATCGGATCTCTCTTAGGATGCCCACCTGTTACTGCCTTCGTCGAAAGTGGAGCTGGTATCGCCGATGGTGGGCGAACTGGTCTTACTTCGATGACTACGGGCCTGTGTTTCTTCATCTCCATTTTCTTTGCACCCATCTTCGCGTCAATCCCTCCATGGGCTACAGGTTGCGTACTGGTTTTGGTCGGATCAATGATGATGCGGGCAGTGACTGAGATTAACTGGAATTATATTGGTGACGCCATACCAGCTGTGAGTAGCACCCGAAACTCTCTATTTCTATTCATTCACGTGGTGGTGGCCATTAGCTAACTCCACATGATCTAGTTTGTTACTATATTTGCAATGCCTTTTACGTACAGCATTGCTGATGGTCTTATTGGTGGTATTTGTTTATACATCTTAATCAATACCCTGGTGTGGCTGATCGAGAAGGTATCCGGAGGACGTATTGTCCCGCCTAACAAGGCTGAAAAGGACCGCTGGACCTGGAAACTCCGTGGTGGTATATTACCACCTTGGGTAATGCGCCTCTATACTGGAAAGAGTGGTTTCTTTCAGGATACTCCTGCGACAGAATCGAGTGTTGATGTACCTGGAGAAGACCATATGGCGAAGACGAAATCGAAAGAACATGGAAGGGGTCACACCGAAGAGTCTACACTCCAGGTCCAGGAGAAGTCTACTTAAATATCATCTGTATATGATGTAACGTGTATTTATAGTCAACTCTGTGCATATATGGCATATATATCTGTCTTGGATATATTTAACTGGGTAGCCCCATAACAACACACCTTCTACAATATTGGGACGGAAGCATGATTTGGGTTGATTTGTATGTATGCTACATTACAAAGAACTTTGGATCATAGATGGAGTCATACGGGTAAATAGGAAATCTTTATAGAAGTTTTTCTTTTTCTTTTAACTACTGACGCTGGATTACCCTCGATGGGATTTGTATACTAGCTAGCTACTAGTATCAACTAAAGTAATAAAACACAAACCGACCCAGTGCTCTCTCTACCTGCTCCAATCCACATCCAAATTCCAAACGCCGCCTCGAATGTGCTAGAATTAATAAAACAGTCCACTCCGTATAAATGCTGTAATGGATGGGCTCGTTACACGCCCATGGTGAAATCATGCTCGATGCCAGGGGTAACGCTGGCCATGAACTGGACTCTAGTTAGCGCTATTCAACCTTTTATGTACCTAGGCCTGGTTTAATATTCAAAATCCGTTCACATACCTTAAGAAATACAACGAGGTATTGGTCAACTCGGATGGCTACCTCTTGGTCTTCTACCTCCACCTCTTCCCAATCGTCATTACTTGATTCGGCAGCGGCTTCAGCACTCTTGACATCTAGCTTATTGATCTCGTCCACTAGACCTTCCATGCCGGCATCGATGCCAACTGCCTTTACGGACTTCATCTTGTCACGTCTTATTTTTAAGGCGGCATCCGCGCGATCCAGGAGAGTCTTCATAACAGAGGCATGTTTGCACGGATGTACGCTGGCCATCTTGACGTTATTGGCAAAGAAAGGGAAGTCTTCCAATGTTACCGTCTTGTCCTTGTAGTCGCCAACGATATCCTCCATCATCAGATGAGGAGCGAGGGGTTGTCCTTCGGTGTAGCCTGATAAATATAGGCGGGGTGTGCGGTAGTAAGGGGAATACATGATGTAGAGGGTGTACGTGCGACGGGCGCTATAAGGTATGAAGTTAGCTTTTGGATATCCCAGGCACCTGTTTATATCAACGGGAGATAGAAGCAGAGGGGCACTTACGCTGTTCTCCTGTGCGGGTCGGTATCGCGAATGATGGCTTCGTCATCGTCATCATCATCTTCCATGTCCGGGATTTCATCTTCATCATCTAGGCTATCTCCGACATTCCCCGCATCATCAACGGTCCGTACATCCTTAGCTTTGAGTGGTTGCGAGCTGCTTAGACCACCTGTGCGTAGCCATCCATCATCGTCACCGTGGCCTTTGGAGTTGAAATCGTCACCATCGCCAACCACTGCTTCTTCGTGACCCGCATCTCCAGCAAAGTCTTCATCGAGGCGGCGGTTGCAAGGAACGTTTCGTGTGACTAAGAACTGCTTTCCGGGTGGTAAGTAGGACACGCGCTTGGACTCGGAATCGGCATCTACCCAGGACCAAGTTGGGAATTTGAAGACGAGATAGTCGCCTGCCGCTAGAAACTCTTCGGGGGTGATCTGGCCCGTTTTTCGAAATGTTGATGTGTGGCTCACGGGAGTGTACTTGTCCCGGATCGTGTTGACCGTTGAGTAGATGAGATTCATCTTGGATAGATGTCTCTTGATTATGAATCACGCTTCGGTGCTGGCGCTCTTTTTTTTCTCAACTGTAGGATGGCCGGGTGGAATGATAGGAACGAAGATATGACTGCTTCCGGGTTTAAATAAATCGAGATGGGGATGGAAGAAACAAAGACTACGGATGATGATGATGGGGGAGTAAGGTTGTTCGTGACGACGGACGTGCGGGAATGCGTGGAATAGAATAGTGACCTGCACTTGATTGTAGATTAGGCTGCTAGTGGGATTAATTTGTAGGCAACCTTTTTTCTTATATGAGCCCTTTTATATAAGCAAGTCGTCTTCATTAATGCACCTACTTTTAAAGTTGCTTGATAACGTTCGGAGGACTGGCCTTGTCACATGGGGGCGCAAGCAGGTAAGGCACAGGGACAAGCTCTAGCAGTCTAGGTATGGCAGCTGAGAGAGTGAGGAGGGGCAGCTCCGACTCCTCCACTTCTCCTTATCTTATCATAAGTGTACCTGCTCTAGGTGGATGCGGTACTTTACTTTACCTACATGTAGGTACCTAGGTATCCTCGTATATATGCATCAGTTCAAGCGCACTGACTATATTCAATAAATGAAGCAATTTAGTAGATTTAGGGCTGTCGCTTCGGGTACTTCTCGGATAATTTGTTCCTGACTCCCCACGAAAATCGCAATCCAAAAATTTCGTTCGAGACGCAAGCAACACCACCACTTTACTAGTCCAGACGTACAACACCCTACTTACGAAACTTTCCCTCTCCAAGATCACATTGAAGGTAAGCAAATATAACCAGACATTCCAAAAAATACTCAAATCTCAATTGCGTTCCTTACGTCGCCTGCCATACTGACAAGTATTTATCACATAGTTTCGCCGTCAAGATGAGTGCGTACCCCTTCGAAACGATATTTCCGCTGTCAACACCCGACTGACTTCGAATATAGCCAAGGGAACTTCCAGCTTCGGAAAGCGTCACAACAAGACGCACACTCTGTGCCGACGATGTGGTTAGTAAAAATCAATCTCTGGGGACGATACGGTTTTGTGTTATGCGATAGATGCGGATCGTATTCTAAAGCCATGACGGAATTTAATTGACGAATGTATCTACAGGACGTCGTTCTCTTCACATCCAGAAGCACACCTGCTCTTCCTGCGGATATCCCGCCGCTAAGACCCGAAAGTGTACGTGAAAACCTCGCTGTTGGAAGTGAACCAGTCACCATACCGAAGAGTGGAAAAGGATTGTCTCAATGTGGTGGTGCGAAGCTGATCTTGATAATTACAGACAACTGGAGCGAGAAGGCCAAGCGCAGAAAGACTGTCGGTACTGGCCGCATGCGCTACCTCAAGGATGTCTCCCGCAGATTCAAGAACGGATTCCGAACCGGCGTACCCAAGGACGCGCGAGGTCCAGTTGCGAAATAGGGTGTTCATCGGGAGAAGTGGTAGATGAGGGCACTGGCATGGCAAAGGGAACGGTGTTTCTGACATTTGGGCTGGCTCATGGCGAACTCGTACATATTCTGAGTTCGGCGGAAATGTAATGCTAGCATTTCCGAACAAAATGGCATCATGATCTCACATGTTTGACGAGGCTCTCTAATTGTTACATCGCGAGTTAACTACTCGACGTCCGTGGGCCTTTAGGATGCCTATCGGTTTAGAGAAGATGGGTTTGATGGTGGGATCTAGTTTGAGCTTAGGAGTAGGCTCCTAGACCTAATCACATGAAGCTATCTTGACTGATTAAACCTATGCTTGGGCTGACTTTTTATTTTCCCGGAAATGAATCATTGGCAAGATGGCTATTGACCCCGTTCGAATACTTTGACTCCACCGTCGCCCGCTACGAGATATAGCAATTCCCGCTCCTCGATCGTCCCATCTGTCCCATTGTATCCGCCGCTTGGGGTAACTCTTATGACGCCACTTACGTCTCTAGCGGTTCCTGTATCCAGCATCCTTAGACTGATCACAAGATTGGCATCATGGGCTAAGGTTATAGCGAATGCAGCGTGCTCCTTTTCTAATGATGTCGTTTGTAATGACATTAATGGTTCATCTGCAGATAGGGTGACGATGGATGAATGTACTTTCTATTGCAAACCTATTATTAATCGACGATACATACTTGGGAAGCCATGATGTATATGTCATGTTCGTTCTTCGGCAACTTACCTCGCGAATGCTAAGCAGCATATCCCGTAGTGCTTGGCTCGGAATATCGTTCCCAGAGGCAGCCAACAGCAGGTCCAATTGGTCAGCAATCAAGACAGTCCTTTGCTTAGAAGCAGAGCGCTGAACCTGTGCTACGGCATCTTCGAGTTCTTTGCGTAAATGCTGTAGTGAGGCAACAGACAAGGCCTTCCTCCCGGTAACATTATCTTGCGGATGCCCTTGGGGGCGGGTAGGTGATGCGCAGTACAAGCTAGAGAGACCATCGACGAAGATGAATTTGCCCTTCCTGGTTAATGCATCAAGATCAAGACCAAGTTTCCCGGCACCCTCCTTCCAGAAAGTGTAGTCGCGTAAAAAGCTGACAAAAGCTACACTAGTATCCTCTATGCTAGACGAATCGGCATCCTCTTTACTTTCTTCTCTTGCTATCGAGTTGGATGGGGTCGAAAGTAGAGAGTAAAGATAGCGGAGAACCAGCCAGTTCGTACTCGACCCCAGAACCCCACTAAGAAGGACGAGGGATGTCTCAGGTGGTAGGTGGAGATAGGTGTCTAGGAGGGGTGGAATTCGAGATGCCATGAGGTGAGATGCCGGAGCTGCACAAAATTAGGCGACTGGCCGAGATAAAATCTGTGCAGATAGCATATTATCAGCAGGGGCTTCTACCACGACCAACCACCGAAGATTGTGGACTAAGATCGGTATCAGATTGTGGGGTATGCGAACAGTAAATGGCACGATATTAGGTTATGGCGTTGGCGGTTGGATCTACATTATGTATTGCGTATACGACAGCAAGCCGAAGAAGAGCCGTATTGAGATGCCTACCATGTAGACGAGATAGGCGCTGGTATAAAACATTTTGGCCTGGTGCGGAAACGCGAGTCTTAAGGACTGGAAATATGTTAAGCAGGGGTCAATACGTACAAAGAATAACACGGCCTAGTTAGCCTGTCCGGTGCGAGTCTTGGATGATAGCAAAATTAACCATGAATAAACCAAGAGGTGTTTCTGGACGCTTCGCTTCTGAAATCTTGAAAGGTGAGAATTTCCTACTTTATCTTGAGTTTTTGATATGCACCTGAAGAATTTAGGTGCATGTTGTGTTACCTGCTAAATTTCCTTTGTTACCCAGATGTACCTTGGGCTGCTTGGTAGTGGATCTCACTTCGGCCAGGAGGAGGTTAAATCACATGCATCTTAGTGTAAACATGTATGTATGTACCCTTATGTAAGGTGCCGTCATAGTGCATGTTAGCAGGCCCCAGCGGTACATACTATGTATATTTGCAGTGGCAGTACATACCTCAGTCATAGCGCTTTTACCCCCGCGATCCCAACCTTGGAACCCTGAATAACCTCTCTGGCCAAGGGTCCATGGGGATGGATGTGGACTGGACTGAACGGTTGGACATTTGCGATCGACATCCCCTTTCACCCCTCCCAACTAGCCAACTTACATATATTCAACAGGCAGGCTGTCATTATGTGCATAAGGTAATTAGTATGGAGATAGAATGCATTCTGCAATAGATGGCCTTTATTCACCGTTAAACCCTCGAAGACTAACTGACCGTATTGTCCCTTTTATCGGGCTTATATATAATAAGCGTATAATAACGCCACCTAGGTATAGACAGGCCAGACAGATGTATCTACATCTCCACTCACACCCACTCGATGGGAGAGCCGCTTCGTCCTAGCGGCAGATGGCGGCAACCTGACCTTGTCCCATGTGCCCATTACTATGTATCACCGCCTGGTCACCTGCGCAATGCAAGCCGAACCCTCAATGGACACGACCCCATTTACAGACATCTTGAATTATCTTATTGGTTTAACACGGACCTTGTCATTAGCACGCTATTCTCACTAAATCCTCACTCGTAAATCGCTAATCCTTGGATGGTAACATCACGTTTGTTGCTACTGCTGAGGGGGTTGTTGCTTCGAGTTGGCGCGGAGAGGTAAATGGATATAACAAGGTGTCGGGTAGCTTCATTTGTTTTTTAAGACTCCTTGTCTCTCTTTGTAGGCCTAGGAATAAGTTGGACTTTTCAATATTGGGCCATGCTTTACCGAGCCTAGAGCCGTAACAGGTACTTATATTAGAAGGCGTATATATTTGACAGCACTATCGGTGAAGCGTATTCCTGTCGAGAATAGTCGGGAAAGATGGCAGGGGAGAAGAAAGGGATACCAAAGGGCCCACGGAGGGCATTCTTCCGGAGAAGGGTTGATGCTGATGCTGATGGCGAGCGTCAGAAGACCGAAAAGTCCAAATGGAGCATGGGAATGCTGAATGATAAAAAAACCATAGAGGTTCCAGGCAAGTTATCACGGCTTGGATCCTCTGATTCCGAACTAAGTCTAACCTTTCACTTAGGATCTGTCTTGCTCCTTGCCCAGGGCCGAAATGAGCCTCTTGGGCTTCGAAATGCGCCAGCTAGGACATCTCATTCTTCCCTTCCCACAGGCTATCCACAACCAGCGCCGCCACAGCCAGCACCCAGGGAGCAGGATGACAAGAAATTGACCAGAGACGGGCAGATTATCTTAGATCCGCAGCCGGATGATTCACACAATGATCCTTTAAACTGGCCAGCGTGGCGTCGGGACTCTGCTTTGCTTACCTTAGGTCTTTACTGTATGGTCGGAGGTGGAACGACACCTATAATCGCAGCCGGTTTCACTGATGTCGCGAAGGGTACGTATAGGGGAAACACCGGCTTACTCGAACACCTATAACTCTCTTCTTTTACTAAATTGAAGTACAGATTATAACATAAATGTCGCCGACGTATCACTTACTACAGGGTTGTATATGATGGGTCTTGGAATCGGTTGTGTTATCTTCTCGCCTACTGCTATCCTGTACGGCAAACGACCAGTTTACCTTTTCAGTGCCATAATATTCGTCATATCGACGATATGGTGTGCTCTATCACCTAACTTTACCTCACTCATACTGGCTCGTATCTTCCAAGGGATCGCTGTAAGCCCGGTCGAATGTCTTCCGTCTGCTACTATCGCTGAGATATTCTTCCTGCACGAGAGAGCGTACCGCATTGGCGTGTATACTCTATTATTGCTTGGCGGGAAGAACCTGGTCCCTCTCGTAAGCGCTGTTATTATCGAGCGCCTCGAATGGCGCTGGGTATTCTGGTAGGTTCATTCTGGGATGGTCTTAAACATCTATACTGTTCATGGTTCTCCGGCTAACATGACACCTCCTTTAGGATTCTTGCAATAGTCGTTGGTGTTTGTGGCATCCTTCTATTTTTCTTCGTCCCCGAGACCTTCTGGGACAGAACTCCAATACCAAGATCACGTAAACATCCAAAGCGCCCTACTATTTTTAGTAGGAGGTCCTCGGCCCGGCAAGTCTCGAAGTCCCATCTAAGCGGGAATGCTGTTCATACCAGCGAGAAGCCAGCGGAAGGCGTGAGCGAAGAGAAGCCCACAGGAACTCGCCATGAGGATACATCAAAGGAAACGCAGCCGCGGCATAATAAAGCCCACGTCGGATTTGCGCCCGGTCCCGAGGGAGAATCAGCAACGGGTTCAGGACACGCACACGACGCCCAGGCTGTGCCAGCGACAGTTTCCACGGCACCGCTTAACGGTAGAGACGATAGAGACGATAGAGACGAATCCGCGGCGACTGAAGAGGCGATAACTGCTGTGCCCACGACGACGGCCGATGATATCCCACACACTCCCCGCCCGATTGCTAGTCGCACACAGTCGAATAGCAGTGCGTGGTCACGGGCTAACTTGGACAACGCAGGACATCTTAGCCCGTCAACGCCAGACTCGCGTAATTTCCACTCGCTATACTATCAACGTCATACTGATGATTATTTCCGAACGGAGGAAGGGAGCGTGCCTTATCCAACCCCGGGAATCGTTCATTCTGATACCGAGAGCGAGAAGATGTCGTTCTCAAATTTAGCGACGATAACCACGGGACAGGCTTACACGCACGCTTTGCGAAACGCACCGCCAAAATCTTTTGCCCAGCAGTTGAAAGTGCACCATGGGCGGCTAAGCCAAGATAAATGGTGGAAGGTAGCTATTCGTCCTCTAATCCTCTTTTCGTACCCCTCAGTCCTATGGTCGGCCGCGGTCTACGCCTGCTCGATCGGATGGTTAATCGTGATATCGGAATCGGTCGCCGTAATCTATCGAGAAGGTAGTTATAAGTTTAGCGCACTGGGAACGGGCCTTGTCTACATATCGCCATTTATAGGTGGTGTTCTGGGCACGGCCGTGGCGGGCAAGGTCAGCGATATCATCGTTAGGGCGATGGCACGGAGGAATGGTGGTCTATACGAGCCCGAGTTCCGGCTCGTGATGGCCGCGCCAATTTTGGTGACCACGGTCATCGGGCTCATGGGGTTCGGGTGGTCAGCTTACGACAACGACGCTTGGATTATTCCGACCATCTTTTTTGGAGTAGTCTCGTTTGGTTGCTCGCTGGGTTCTACGACATCGATCACATTTTGCGTGGACAGCTACAGGCAGTATGCAGGGGAGGCCTTAGTCACTCTAAACTTCAGCAAGAACATATTTCACGGGCTAGTATTCAGTCTATTCGTCACCGAATGGCTTACGAGCGAGGGTTCTAAGACAGTGTTTATCTGGATCGGCATTATCCAGCTCATCCTGCTCCTATTTACGATACCCATGTACATCTATGGCAAGAGGGCTCGTATGTGGACTGTTAGAAAGAATTTCATGGAGAAATTCTAGACAGCTCCTAGCTATTGAATAGCTGTTTACATATGGTTTGGTTGACAGCGAGGGTTGGTTTCTATCACGCGTCAACTTGATCTATAAGAAGATTTCATTCTATGGTTGAATCATGGCAGATTTGGTATAGCATCTATGGCGCTTGACGAAGCTAACGATTTATACATACATATACACATATGTATCTATGTATATCTATATTCAGGATAGACAGAGTATAAATATTCCAATATAAATATTTCAATACTAGCTGCGCTACCCGTCCGCGCAAGCGCGTACGGGGGGTTCTTTTAAGCCTATTAATTTTTTTAAAAATAAAATAAGGTTATTTAAAAAAAGCCACGGCCACGGCCACAGCCACGGCTGTGGCCGTGGCCGTGGCTTGCCGTTGACACAATCCTCTGGAGCATACGCACGTGATAAGACAACGCAAAACCTACGCCACGAATAAGTCTGGCCTCTGATTGGATAGCCACACCTCAGCGCACGTCCGATGAATTTTTTGTAGAATCAATTAAATTGCTTTACCTTTGGATAAAAGTTTTAATAATTAGTATCGTTGGATAGAGCGCGTTTTGCATGACATTTCTATACTATTTGCACCTTTTGCAGACCTTGTGCGATAGAATGGCAAAGGAAAAAGTCGCAAACTGCGGGGCGATTCTAAGTATCTGATTGGTCGAAAAAATTGTGGCAGTACTAATGAAATATATAAGAGTTGATATGATATAACGAATATGTTCTACGTCATCTATGTTAAGAGGTACCTATGTAGCTACATGTATGTAATTACGTAATAACACATATAAATATCCTTAGAGTACGGATCCGTATTTACATGGAAATATGTGTATTTACTTACATGTAGCTGTTATATTCTACGTATGCTTCACGCGATCTTCCGCTAGGCATCCGATCAACCACCATGAGGGCCAGAATTCGGTTACCAATGTTGACGGTTCTCTACCGGACTCCGGTGCGGACCTTTTCCCTGTCTCACCGTCTCAACGCCGCCAACCAAATATATTCTTCGTAAGTAAAGACAACTTGGTTCTCACGCAATATTATTCCCTTGCCTTACAACTAACCCTGCTTGCTAGTGTTCGTCAGCCCGATAACTTTCACACTTATCAGCTCTTGTCCTCTTCTTCAAGAACCCCTCTCATAACCCTGTGGACCACTTCATGGTGTTCTACATGCCACGTTGTAGCGCCGCTCATAAAATCTGTCATCGAGTCTGGTGTAGGTGAGGCTGAGGGTGGCGTCGGATATTGCGAGGTTGAGTACGACGCTCCCGACGTCATGAGCAGCTCGCTCGGCATGGACTTTATGATTACTTCTATACCTACGCTACTCAGTTTCGACGCCGGAGAGGCCCAAATCAGCACCAAGATAACTGATGGAAGGAAACTAGCGGACCGGTCCTTTTTGGAAGAATGGATTCGAAATGAGGCGAGGAGACATGGCGGCCGTGGCGGTGGAGGTGGAGGTCCAGGGATTCTTGGCGGGTTATTTAGTTCGTGGAAATGAGGTACGATCAACCTATTTGGTCTATTATTACTGACAGCGAGTGTCATAGTACTTGTGACAGGGTCCGTGTATAGTGTACGTATGTCGTATAACTCAAATACCAGGATGCGAGAGTTGCTCAGCAAGCTTTATTTCATTTTAAACCGAACGTATCGTCACACATATACCATAGGATAGATATAGGGTCAGCAGACGCAAGTACTATATAAGTACAATCATATCTGTACACTTGTAACGTGAAAGGTGCTTAACTCTTTCAGTGCGCTAGATCTCT